GGATTCTGCCATCTGCATAAGGTCCTGAAGAAGGCTTTGTGACACTACCACTACCACTGTCAGTACTACCATTGTCAGTACTACCACTACCACTGTCTCAACTACTGTAACATTACCACTGTCTCTACTACCACAATATACTACTGTCTCCCAACGTGCCGCCCATAACTGTTTACGGTACACAACAATTCATGTCCATTACAGGAAGTAGATACCTGCTTATTCAGAATTGTAGGTATTAATAAATCAGCAACAGTTTTACAATATGCAAAAACCAAAAAAACTTAAGTTAGTTAGCAAAAGCTCCAGCAAAGTCATCTGCAGGCAAAGGAAAACAGAGGATAGAGATTTAATAGGTATTGTGTTACTGATTTTTCAAAGTAGTCTAAAGCTGAGAGTCTTAGGAATAAAGGAGTAGATCAAAAATCATTTTGTTCTCTCTGTATTTTCTTAATTCAAAACATTCTGAGAGGATGGCAGGTTCTGACAAGATGGCAGCTCTTCTGAAATATTGAAAATGTTAAATAAATGTTAAATATTCACCATCCTCATCCTCGTCTTCATCATCTTCCTCGTCCTCGTCGGAAGAGTCATCTGTCAATGACAATGAAGGAAAATGTCAGTACGGGTGAAACAGTGATGACTGCAGTAACAGTACGGAGCTCCACACTCTCACAACCAGACTCCAGCACTCAGCTGCCACCCAGCAGGTTTCATGATCTTTCTGACCTACTGCAGTGCAGTCAGTATCATTGCACAGGTGTATTTATAAAATATAAATGAACACTTTTCTTTTGTTTTTCTTTCATGCATAGATCACGGTGAATACAACACAATGTACATATACAGTATATCATAGTACTTAGATTTTAACTATTCTGTGAAGTAGAGAACCAAAACATAAATCTGATTTAAAATAATCACCTTTAGAACTTACCAACTTTCATCCTGTTTTCCAGATCTGAAGCGATTTTGTTTTCGTGAATGTTACGCAGAATTTTAATTGTGTTTTCAACTGCTCCATGTTCCTGATAGACAGCAATCAGACGTGTTGCCAGGTCTACCGTATCATATTTTTCGACTTCTGCTCTAGGGAACTGGCCATCTTTTCCCATATCAATGAGCTTCTCCTTGAATTTCTTCAACCTGTCTGAATCCAGACTGTCCAGGCTGTCCATGATCCGGTCCTTGATGGTTGAGCTCATTTTCTATAAATCTCTTCTCCAATTCCTCTGTGGATATTTATAGTACTGTAGCGGCGAGGCTTATTAATAAGAAAGAATTAAGTGTTCTGAGCTTTCCCAAATGAGGCCCCATTTCTCTGTTCATCTCTGTGGTGCAGCCACAGAGA